CATACTTTCCGCCAAAGTCTGTAATTTCGTCAAATAGTTTTTGCTGACAGTCTTCGTTCAGAGCCAACGAATAGGTTAGGAATGAGAGGAGGGATGCCGTCGTCTCAAAACCGGCCACAAAGAAGAGGACAGAATTGGCCAAAATGTCGTCTTCCGTGAGCTCTATCTTCTGTTTATTTAGCAGAAAGTCTTCACTTTCATCCCTTTGTCCGTAAATGCGCTCATTTTCGCCGACAATATCCTTTTCCTCGCTATTATCAAACTTTTTATTGAATGCATTAATCATAAGTTGCAAGTAATCGTTGTGTCGATTAGGCTGTGATTTACGGCTCGATACCATTGAATGAATCTACAGTTTGGATCGAAAATCAATTAAAATTCTCAAATAATTTCCATTTTAATCGCAACTCTACTGACCGCTGATCTGAAAAACCTGTCGACAACGACATTAGTGGACTTGAATTGAGTCCACTCAAGGATTTTGGGGAATGTCTTCATGAGCATGAAAAATATGAAGACCCTCCAGTTGGGTCTGATCACTTTCTCGGCGTTTACCACAAATTCACTTCTTTTCTGCTCATTATATGTGTCTATTTTGGTGCCGAAAGCGCACGAAGCGATCACATCCATCGTCAGGTTTCCCATCAGTCTCTTCACCTCCAATTCACTCAACCCGTCGGCCGTCTTCTCAGCCATAATCGTCTCCAATCTCTTCACGCAATCAATGATAATGGTATGCATTGAACGCATTTTCCCACTCGAAAACGTTGGGCTTATCTTCAAATTAATGATTTTATTTTTGAGCGAAAAACTCATTAAATTATTTTTGTTGTTTCAATATATTGTGCAAAAATGACTGAATTAAAGGCAATTAGAGTTTAAACGTGATTACAGTCTTTAATTAGTTTAAACGAGAGACTAATTATTTCTTACGATTGATCGCAATTTTTTCCAATCGTTTCCGTTGACGTTAAATAATGACCTGTCGTTCATGGGATCACCCGTTAGGAAGTCGTGTCGGTCGGAGAACTTATGGAAGTCTTTGGTTGTGATATCTTTGATGAGCTCCGGCTCCGCCACCACCAGTATAGGCATTGTACCCATGAATTGCCTAAACACACACACAAGTAGACTATGATCACAACTATTGGCAAATAGATATTGAGATTTATGTGTGATGTATAAACCCGTGAATTTTGCCATATTTTCTGCTGTTTGATACGACAAGCTCTGGGAGTGAGGCGAAGAACTGTTGATATACTGTCCCCATAAATATGACGGGTTTTGGGCCATTGATTCCTCGCGACGTCCAGTATTTGTAATTTCGAGTCAAATATCTGTGATTTGAATATAATATTACAAATATTTATTATTATTTTTTAAAGAATATTCTGTAAATTATATTAATAAGAATTTAATTAAATTAATCAAAAATAGCATGGATTTATGGTAGGATAGAGTTGTTTATAGTAACGTTATTTCTATTATAATATTTTCAATGTCCTTGATTTTTATAAAGATAGATTTTTAAATTAAAATTAGATTTATAATGAAATAATATATGAAGGCTATAAATTATAGTAATACGAAATATAATTTTAATTACTTACAAATATATAGCCAAACATGCTGAACCTAAGATTATTAAAATATTAATTGACAACATTTTAACGTTAATAATATTACGTATATTTATATTATAAGTATATTATAAATACTATGTCTGAAAACAGAAAGCAACTACTGTGGTATTTATATATTTATAACTTAAAACAAGTTTAGCTTTTTAAGTGTTGTTTAACAATAAAAATCTAATCAAACATTGACTGATTTGATTATCATATTTGAAGGACATTTTGGTACTTTGAGTGATACACTAAATTAAATAATAATATCTATGGTTGAATAAATGTAAAATTTGTTGTATTAAATGATACTGATGTAATTAATTGAATATATACTTCAATTTTCTAAATTCATTATAATTTAAGTTGTCGTGTTAAATATTTATTTAGTGTTAAATAATTTGTTGTCTTGTTTTAATAGAAATTACAATATTACAAACGTTGTGTTTAATAGTGTTTAATATTTTACAAAAAACCTATTTAAATGCAAATCTTTTTACTAAAAATTAATGTCAAAAACAGATACATATTGAAAACAGAAATGAAAATATTTTTATAAATAGACACATGTCTTGAATCCAGTTTTGAGTTTTAATGTTAAATAAACATAAATTTTCGTCACTGAATATTTCGCAGACAATTTTGTGGCGTAAATGAAACTAACATTTTGCGCTAGTATTAGTCTAAAATACTATATTTTACAACACTTTCGCTCATATTTTAATGAATATATTAAATGTAAAGCATCTCTGAAAAAGACATGTATTTTGACATTCAAGAAAAAATATCTCGTTTTTTATCGTATGCTAAACTTATTTCTTTTCCAAACGCATGCAATAATAAAACAAATTCTTATACAGAATAATACTTTTTTGCCCAAAATTGTCTACTGTAGCTATAATGAGAGTCTACACCCACACCCATAATTACCAAACGCTAACCCTATGAACCTCTATCGTGCTAAATCATCAGGGAAAATCTGATCTAAATATAGACTGAAATATAAGTGAAATCAAGAATTCTATGAGAATATTGAATAAAATTTATTGATTTAAGAAAACCTCTCAAATTGAATTGATCTCATTGTTAAAAGTTCGCTGTATTGCTAAAAATGCGGTTAAAATTGCTTAACTATTGGTATAACATATCCAATCCAACGCTAGCTCCTAAAATATAGGCGCGATTCTATACTTTAATGTCTACATTATCTTATTTTTCTGTCTGTCCACTACATTATAAAGTTAATGTAATATGAAAACTAAATAAAATTTTGTTATTCTTTAAGTAGGAGTTGATTGAGTAGTCGAGAATTATCATCTCCTTCTCACTTATGAATTATGTATGCATTCACTGATTTTGAAGCTTAAACGCGATCAACAAAATCAATATTTCGTTTGCTTTCCGACTCCTCCGACACAACCAATTCATCCGAGATTTATATATCAAATGCTTAATAACTCTGAAAATTATTTTAATCGCAATAATTGCAAAATAAACATTAAGTTCAAAGATCACCAATTAATTAGTGAGTGACGCCAACATATTTACAAAAATACTATAATTTAAATATTAGATTTCAAAGTTAAATGTCTATTAATAAAAATTTACTTGATTCAAAATTCCATACCATTAGTTGTGTACTCAGTATACTGTATGTAAGGTGATCGGGCACACGTTTTTATGATTGTAATCAGTATACAGTGACTATACAGTGAATATTTTCCTAGAGATTTTTATTTTATTTTTTGTTTTAGATTTTAGTCTGTATTTCAAATGCGAGTAATACTAATGTATGAATTGATATTCTTATCAATAAAACCTCTTTCACTTTATTGAATATTCCCTTTGAATGTAAAGTACTGTTAGAC